CTTGGAACAACGAGCAAGCAACGAGGACGAAGGACGCACACGGTGAAAAGTGAAGCAACACTTTCCCCTTTGTGCGCTCGCGAGCGCCCGCGCGAGCAATGGCGCGGTTGATAGGCGTGTCGAGAGACGGGTATTAATTAAAATCGCGGGAGATAGGATTTTTTCATTCGGCACAAGGTCCATGCTCTTGATCAACGCACGAAATTAATTTAATTAATACAGGGTGTCCCGCAATTAGTGTAGGACCCGAAAAGGGGTGGTAGGTGGGGCGATTCTGAGCAACTTTTTCCTTTGCCAAAATATTGGTTGAGGCTCCATTTTCGAGTTATTAGCAAAAAACACTGACCAATGAGAGCGTGCATAGACCGGGCGCGCGAAAGCGTGAGCGACAGCTTCGAATATGACGGCTGATCGTCGTCGCGAACAAACGTATCGATACCGTCGGTATAACGTCGGTATATCGTCGGTATAACAGGAAGCTATTAGGTGAAAGTTGAATAATGAATTATGAAGTTAAGAATAATATTAAGTTCTTCGTAATTCGTGAATGGGAGATAAATCAATTAGTTGTTGTTTACCCAGACCAAGTATCTTGTATTTATTTTAAGCCTTCAAAAAGGAAAAAGAATAAATTCACGAAAATTCATTCTGTCGATTATTCTAATGAAGCAAATGAATAAATTCATGTTTCAAAACGAATGAGTACCTTTCCTACGAAATGGGATAAAATTGGAATAAAATATCTAATGCAGTACCTCATTGAAGTGAAATAAATCAATTGCTGCGTACGTATAATTTTAAAAATACGGAAATAACTTAAATAAAACTTACCCATTGATTCATGAAAAAACTAGCTTCGATAAAAAATATTTATGTCACCGGGTAGATCCATCAATCAGAGCATCAACAGCTGATATCCTGGCAGGGTCAATGAACTCTCAATTTATTTCATTGTCTCTTTCTAATAATTGCACAACATATGCACGACCGGTAAACGGACCGAATGAAAACGCGTGAACGATTATTCATAGATATGTATGTTTAACGATATGCTATATTCTCATTATAAGGTATCCGAATTGAGGAATCGATATTATATTGTATTTTATTAGAAGACATTGTTAGACTGGCCACGGATCGCGGTTTCGTTTTCGATCGCGAGGCATACGTCGCGAACGGTTGCCATGCAACGATGATCTGTTGAACGACTGCGGCGTCGATCGACAGTCATCGTTTATTGTCGACAGATACGTGTTGAAATAAAATGTATCGTAGTTTTTAATAAAAAATTCTGTTTTCTTGCTTTCAAGATAATATAGTTTAAATTATTTATGAATATTTGTTTATGTGTTTTCATTCGTCGTATTTATGTGTTGAACTCACAGTGAAAATTAGTGAAAATTAGTGAAAAATGACAAAAAAAAGTGATAATAAAAACTAAGAATGAAAGGTGACAGTGATAGGTGACAGTGAAGTTTCTTGAGAGTTTTTTCAGAGTTTCTAGTATTTATGAGAACAGTAGGGATTGGTGGATTGGCCCAGTGACAGAGATGCATTTTCATCGTGATTATTTGCGGTTCAATGGGTGAGTTACATTTAAATTTATTAATTATTCAATTCAAATTTTTATTTGTTGAATAGAAAAGTTATTTAATTTTTTAAAAATGAGAATTTGTTCTTTTTCATCATCACAATATCGAACGAAAATAACGGATAAATATTTTATCCGTTATTTCTTTGCCATAACGAATAAAGGTATCGAATAAATTCGATTTATTCTGATTACGTGAGTAGGGACTGATTTCGTTATTTCTTATTCAGGAATGAATGGTAATTCAAGAATAATCCAGATTTTTTATTCATTATTCGATGTAACTTTCATCTAACAGCTTTCTATTATACCGACGTTATATCGACATTATACCGACGCGGTATCGATACATTTGTTCACGACGACGATCAGCCGTCACACTCGAAGCTTTTGCTTACGCTTTCGCGCGCCCGGTCTATGCGCGCTCTCATTGGTCAGTGTTTTTTGCTAATAACTCGAAAATGGAGCCTCAACCAATATTTTGGCAAAGGAAAAAGTTGTTCAGAATCGCCCCACCTACCACCCCTTTTCGGGTCCTACACTAATTGCGGGACACCCTGTATAAGGGACGCGATCTTTCGGGGTCGCCATTTTTACGCTCCAAAATGATACGTTCTCTGCGATAACTCAAGATACTTCCATTTTTACTGTTTTCTTTTACTTATATTCAAGTATTTAGTTAAGTTAGTTTCTAATTTAGTTTAGGACATAATAGTTTAGTTTCTAGTTTAGGACGTAATAATGTGAAGAAAAGTACAATGGCGATACTGGTACATAGCAGATGTTTGGTAAGTTGACACACGAATTGATTGTGCATTTTATGCAAGAGCCTGCTTATCAAAATCCTATTTATGCACTACGTATGGTGCAAGTTCAGAAATGCTTATAAATGCTGGATAAGTTAGGTTACCATTGTATAAGTTACAATGAACTCTGACTGTTCGTGTACTGTAAATAATCCACTCCAATAAGAGTTACGACACATTACGTCATGTTATATTATTTTAGGTTAGTTCATTTAATTTAATAAACACACATGTAAAAGCACCTGTCCTATTTTTTGTACATCACGTTCAAAAAGTCATGGTACAAATAACTGAGTGATGATTCTGCATAAAGAAGTTGAGAAAAGAAAAGAATGAAATATGATCATATTTGCCTGTATTTTTAGAGCAGCGGAATTTAAAAATTCTCTGATATATTTATAAGAAAAATTGTTTACAAAAATATGATAATTTTAACGTGATTTCGGGCCAGCTTGTATTTAAACAACAGTTTCAAAAGTCACCAATAAAAGGAAAATAAAAATTCCGCTTTAAGGTTCTCAAGATGGCGTAACCCCTTAAAGCGAGAACCTCTTCATCCCATAATTGCTGTTCTCACGCGGGTAGCCTTTTATTAAAGGAGGTCCGGGCACGCACGCGTCGTTCGCGCTCGATCTTGCAATTAATAAAATCAATTAATCGATACCGTGGCGTTTGGTCTTCTCTCTAAGCAGTCGGAAATTTAATGACGAACTGGTAGCCCACCGTCGATGAAGATGCTTACCGAAAGAAGAAAAGAATCGCCCAGAAGGAGAAGAACAAGATGAGTGGAAAAACGTACGATCCACGAAGATCGGTTGCGTAATCGCCAGCGCATGTGTACCGATCGCCCGGGGCGAACCGAGACCTTGCCGACATGCATGAGAACTGGGCCGCGTTGGGACCCACCGCCATTACACGCCAATTCTATACGACTCAAATCGAACCACCAATCGATCTACGACATTTACACTTCCCTCTATGCTTACGTTCTTCTTCTACCCTCACTTTTACCCATTTTTCGAATTGACGATGGCTGAATTTTAACTATTTTGGAATTAATCATGATGGACTTAACTGGTCAAATTTATTTAGGTAACAGCTTTTCAACAATTACTACATTTTTTTATGGTATTTTGTTGGATGTGTTATTTGTAGGTTTTTAAGTACTAGTACTAGTACTACACTTACTACTAGTATTTTCAGTCGAGGTTAGGGTACTTATCTTAACCCTTTGCACTCGAAGATAATTTTACTGTTTGCAAACAGTAACTTTAAAATATTAATTAAAATGTTAAATGACTTCTTTTGAAGTTATTATTTCTCTACTAATAATTTCCACTATTGTCTATTTCACTATGTTTATACATCACATAAGCACTATTATAGAATTAATTAAATAATACTTCTTTTAAATTATTGTATTAAATCGAATGGCGCCTCTTAGGCGCCTCTCGAGCGCAAAGGGTTAACTTAGTTAGGGTAGGTTATTGAATTCATGGTTGTTAGAAATAATTTGTTTGTTACACTGAAGTAGGTAAAGGTTATATTAGATAGTACTTTTACTTTCAATAAATTATACTAAACTTCGTTGTCGTACTTTGTTATATTTATTATTCACAGTTCCAAGTATGTACATAGTCAGAACGAGTTAGTGAAGAAATCCACCCATGACGCACAGCTCAAAACAGAGGGTTGTATAATGAACAAGTAAACCAATATACAAATCCATCTTCAAATTTGAAAGAATAAAATAAAAATAGAAAAATCAATCTCCAAAAAATCAATATCTTAAAAAACCCCGTTTCCACAAGAAAAGCACAACCATTTGCGTGGTAAATTAAACTGAAACTTTGCATATCTCGATATTTCACACGAAACACGCGTTCCAAGGACTAAAACGAAAAATATAATCGTAAAAAATGGGCTGACTTATGAAACACCTGGAAGAAATCAGTGCGGAACTGTGGCATTTTGTAAACACAGGCTCCTAGATTCAACACAACAGACCTTGGTTTCGCCACGGAGATGTGGAGCACACCGTGTTCGTTAAGAAATATTATTCTTGTCGTGAGATAAGCGTAAGATCTCTTTATCGTCGCTCGTATGACCAGTCACGAGATTATGAAATTTGAATTAGAATTAGAGATTTTGTTGCAAGAACGAGCGCGAGTTACGTTCGTGGTCAGATTTTCGGGCTAACAAATGTTATCTGTTTCACGTAACGTGCATGTTACCATTTTTGTGGGGAAAACGAGTGACGCACATCCAGTTTATATAGAGACGATAAGCATCGAGAATTCTTTGCTAGGTTGACAATCATTTGAATATCTCGTAGGATGCCACTGGAATGTGGACATTTGTTGCAAGATACTATTGTGTTTATATTTCTGCGAATTTTAGGACTGGTTGTGAATCAGTTTGAAAAGTTGAATATTTCGAGAATGAAATTTGTGTGAAATTATTTTGTTTGGACTTGTTAGGGAGTTGTAGGTTTTGCAATTTGTTGGGTCTTTGGAAGCATTACTACTATTTTTCATTTTTTATTTTTCTTGATGGATATTTAATCTAGTTATTCTTGCATAATGGAGAGTTTTTTGTTTTAGGTGCTGGGACCAATTTCAGGCTGTCATGTGAATCCAGCGGTATCGCTCGGTCTCTTAGTTAGCGGAAATTGCAGTTTCCTGAAAGCATTATGTTATATAGTTTGTCAATGCTGTGGTGCGATTGCAGGGTCCGCAGTTCTGAAGGTAAATTTGGAATTTTTAATTAAAATTACACATTTGGAATTTTTGCATTTCTAAATTTTAAAATTACCAAACTTACCAAATTATCTACCTAAGAAATTTATCATAAAACCAATTAACGAATGTATAAAATTATTAAATGTATTTACTGAAATTTACAAAATCACCAAATTGTAATAATAGAAAAGTAAACCTTTTTCTTTCAAATCATACTTTTCTAATTTCTTTGAGAATAGAATTAAAACTGCGAGGGTCAAGGTCTGACATCTGTTAACACGACATTGATTACGTCAGAGGTAGACAAGTTAAATGAATTCTATATACAGAAGGCGCATGACGCTTGATTCATTCGTGACAGTTGATTAATGCATAAATTAATTTCTGTGATTAGCCGTAACATCAACGAGTAATTACCTGGAAATGTCTACCATAATGAAAATGAGTGATAATAAATTATACTGTCATATTGTCGTTGTATGAAATCTATCTTCATAAGAGTTCATTGCTATGTACATTAGTATATGTTCTACACACATGTAAATATGTGAATACACATCTAATATTGATCACTCTACAGCAATATCGTTATTTTTCATATAAATTTACTAATAAATTCAAGCTAGATTAATACAAATATAATGGACTTATCCATTGACTTTGAAAGTTTTGGAATTGAAAAATGTGGAAATTGGGAAAATTCTAAAAATTGAAAAAATTTCAACAATTTACAAATTTACAAATTTACAAATCTGAAAGGATGGACAGAAATATTTAGAAAGTCCAAAATTTCAATATCTAAAAATTCCAAATTACAAAAATATTATTTTAAAAAAATTCCTGAAATAAATTTAAAATCTTCAAGACCTAAAGAAACTAACAAAATTAAAAAGACCCAAACAGAAATTTCTTTAAAGATAAAAAATCCTACACTCCTATACAGTATCCTACACAATATATTTTATGAAAAATGTATTTATTTAACAGGTATTAATACCCGCAAGCGCAAGTGCCCTCGGTTTGGGAGTCACGTCGCTCCACTCGCAAGTAACCGAGAGCCAAGGCATCTTCATAGAAGCGATAGTGACATTTCTGCTGCTGTTAGTCGTGCACGCCGTAACAGACCCAAAACGAACGGACACAAAAGGATGGGCACCAATGGCGATCGGTTTAACCATCACCGTCGCCCACATGGCTGCTGTTCCCGTAACAGGAAGCAGCATGAACCCCGCCAGATCACTGGGACCCGCAGTTATCCTGGATTACTGGGAACATCACTGGGTTTACTGGATCGGACCTATCCTCGGAGGATGCGTCGCCGGTGTGCTCTACAAAATGGCGTTCAGACGAAAGAAAGAAGACGACGAGGCATCCTACGATTTCTAAACGAAAGAAACACGATTTGTGATGCAATCTTCTCGACAGGGAACGAACCGAAATTTCTTACAATACTCCGTAATTATATATAAACGATGTAAAATATTGGCGCTGTAAAAACGTGACGAATTCAGAAAAGTTCGTTCGGTTTGGGGAAATATGAGATTAATGGACGGAGCGTGAAACGCGACTGACTGGATGTTTGAGGCTGGACAAGAAGGGATGTTCTATTTATTATACTGTACAGTTTAAGCGATTTTTCGACGAATATTTAACACGACTAGTTTAGAGAATTAATGTCACTTGGATGTGCTGAGGGAATGTGTACAGTGATGAGGTGATTTGAGATCTGTAATTTTTAGGGGGAGATGTTGGGAGATTGGATATTGTTCGGAATCTTGGATTTATTGCACTTTCGAATTCTCAGTTTGGAGATTTGGAAAATTGGGAGCTTAATTTGGGGAATTGGCGATGTGGGAATTTAGAAATTTTGAAAGGGGAGTTTGGAATTTGGGGTGTTGGGAATTTGAGGTGTTGGCAATTTGCAGAGATTGGAATTTGGGGTGTTGGGAATTTGAGGTGTTGGCAATTTGAGGAGATTGAAATTTGGGGTGATAAGAATTTGGCGAGACTGGAATTTAGGGTGATAGGAATTTGGGGAGATTGGAATTTGGGGAGACTGGAATTTAGGGTGATAGGAATTTGGGGTGATAGGAATTTGGGAAGACTGGAATTTGGAGAGATTGGAATTTGGGGTGTTGGGAATTTGAGGTGTTGGCAATTTGAGAAGCTTGGAATTTGGGGTGATAAGAATTTGGGGAGACTGGAAGTTAGGGTGATAGGAATTTGGGGAGATTGGAATTTGGGGAGTCTGGAATTTGGGGTGATAGGAATTTGGGGTGATAAGAATTTGAGGAGATTGGAATTTGGGGTGATAAGAATTTGAGGAGATTGGAATTTGGGGTGATAGGAATTTGGGAAGACTGGAATTTGGGGTGATAGGAATTTGGGGCGCTGGGAATTTGCAGTATTTACAATTTGAGAAGATTAGAATTGAGGAGATTGGAATTTGGAGTGCTGGGAATTTGAAATATTTGGAATCTAGAGAGATTGGAATTTGGGACGCTGAGAATTTGAAGTATTTCAAACCTTAAATTATAAAAACTTGCAGACTTAAAAATTTGCAAATATCAAATTTTCAAATTGAATAATTAACTGTACCTTACAGACCCATCACTGTTGCACAATCAAGAAATTATAAAAACGCAAGAACTATTTTGTAATTTACTGTTAATTCTTTCCTATACTATATTTTCTATCTTTTTAATCGAGAAGTCTCGCTTAAAAAACAAAAATATCTTGTTGAAAATAAAATATCATCGTTAATTATATGAATGATATAATGATTCTCTCTATAATACAATATTTGTTACATGTATAGTAGAAATGTTTAAAAATTTTAAGTATTAAACATTCGAATTTTACTCTAATATTTTAAATGTTAAATATTCAAATTTTATTGCAATACTTTAAATATTAAACACTGAAATTTTCTATTTTAATATTCATTCAAAATTTCAACATTTTTACCAGAAGAGTATTTAATATGCATATTACACATAAAATCACATTTTATAACATCTCTTTCATTTCTTGATAAAAGTCTATTTCGTGTACATTTCGTAAATCGTTTAAGTTTTGTACATATTGTACTTAAATTATTTTATAAGATACCATCTTTAAATATATGATTTATACTGTGCACTAAATGTTTGTGAATCATTCGTTCCAAATTCTTGACAAATTATTCAATAGTTTTACTGTAAAATTATTTGTTAACTGGTTTAATAGATTATTGTTAGAAAGGTAAGACAAATACATTAATAGAATAAGATATTAAAATAAATAAAATAACTGGTTAGCAATAACAAATATCAACCACCTACTTTTTTCTAAATTATTTCTTCCTTAAGCTTCCTTAACTAGTTGAAGTACTATTCTCACAAAATATAATCCATAGATTATATTTTTAAACGTTGAGATTTCCTCTAACAACAACTTTGTTAATCAACTAATTCCAACAAATTGCTATGAAAGAAATCTATGTAAAGTGAATTATATCAATTAGATTCGCGTTCCGATATTTACACGTGCTTCTGTCGTGCTTCCTTGTTCCAATCGCACACCTCTACCAGGCCGAAAATAACGCAAACAGAAATAGACGAACGTAGTATTTAGTAGCTGTAGACGATGCCAGTAGCATCGAGTGTCGTCGACCGTCGACGTGTCATTCGGATGCACGTTTAATCAGAACTTGTAAAAGCAACTACTCTCAAAAAATTTCGCAACGTTTCAAATCTCTGTGAATGAAGGAACAGTTCATTCAGAAGTACCAAAAACTTTCTAATTTTTATTCGTGCGCCGAACATCCGAATCGTAAGGAATTCGTAAACAGAACGAGTATGAATCACCAGGAAATTATAAATAGTAAACAATTATAAATAATCGCATAATTATAAACAGCGTAAATTACACCTTTTGTAAACATAAATACTATAAATAATTGTGATATTCGTAAATCTGTGCACAAAATTGAAATCTATAAATCAGATTATTGTGACATTCGCAAATTTGTGATTGAATCGTAAATCTATGAACAGCAAGTTTAATTAAAATACATAAAATATGTTGAAAGACGAAGAGAACGAAATCAGTGATTACTTTGCCGCGAATTTCTCGCAGCTGCAACGTGCAATTAGCCCGCAAGAGATGAAGAAGTTCAGATCACTGGATAACAATTCGGATAGGATTGCTTTTTTGTTGGGATACCCAGAGACCCACCTTCTGTCCCTTGAAGTGATGGAAGCGATGTTGAAGAGCAGTGAGAAAGCTCTGCAACTTAAAGATGTCGGTAACAAGTATTTTGGACGTGGGGAATTTGTGAAGGCACTGGAAACTTATTCGAATGCTGTTCTTCTGGCACCTAAAGAAGGTACCCTTTTAAAATCTCTGTCAGTAATGTAGGGGAAGTAATAATATTGTTGAATTTTCATTTTAGTTTTTTTGATGTACCTCTGTATGTCTATGTTCATATGTTACCTGTGACACATTTGTATCATATATATCATGTGACACGTGTGTATCAGCTATATCATCTGAAGTACCTATGTCATGTGTGACATCTACGTCACCTATGTCACTTACGTATGTCCTTATGTCCACATATCATCTGTAACTCTCTATCTACACATCATCGATATCCACATATCATCTATAACCTTCTAACTACACATCATCCATATCCACATATCATCTATAACCCTCTATCTACACATCATCTATATTCACATATCATCTATATACGTCTCTTCACATATCATCTTTATTTCTACCTAACATCCACATCGCTGAACTCTAATATTCTTCATAACCCTATATCTCCTATATCACTACATTTCTAATGACTCTACATCTCCCAAATCCCTATATTCCTAGTATACCTACATCCTCCACATGTCTAAATATCAAATATATCCACATTCCCAACATTCCTACACATATCCTCCACAATACGTCTATATCTCAAAAACCCATCCCTACATCCCCAACTTCACTTAAAAACAAAATAAATTTCACTCCAATATTAATTCCTCAGATTTGGGCGTAATACTGGCAAATCGTTCAGCAACGCTCTACCATCTTGAAAAGCACCGCGAAGCTCTGACGGACGTAGAAGAAGCTATACGAGTTGGTTATCCAAAAGAACTGCTCTACAAACTAGAAGAAAGACGAGCCAGATGTTTGCTCGGTTTAAAAAGACACGACGAAGCAATAGTAGCATTTAGAAAAGCTTTGAAATCTCTAGACGACGCGAAGTTACCCTTCGAGAAGAAGCAGAAGCTGGAGGCTGATATGAGGGTGATGCTCGCTGTGATGGAGAAGGGTAATCAAATCGCGCAGAAGTCGAACAAGATGAACCTGAAGAAGGATAAAATTGATGGATCTAAGAGATCGTGTCCGAAGATCGAGGATGGCAATCCTTTGTTTCTGTCTTGTAGTAAAGCTGTTACTATAAGAAACGACGGTGGCGATATAGGGAGACACGCTGTCGCTACTAGGAACATCGAGCCTGGTGAAATACTTGTGGTAGAGAAACCACATTGTTCGTTTATATTGGCGGAATACAGGTGCGATTTATATTTAATTTTGATATTATTCTTTGATTTATTTGGGAAGATTGTTGTTCATTTTGTAAACCAATTTGTGGGGATTTGAGATTCTGGAAGTTTGAGAGTTTTGGTGATTCGAGTGTTTGGGAGTCAAGGATTTGAAGATTTGGAAATTCGGAAATTTGTGTATCTGGGGATTTGGTGATTTGGGATTGGAGAAGGTTGGAAATTTGGAGGGTCGAGAATTTGAGTTTGGGGACTTGAGAATTTGGAAGTTTGAGAGTTTGAAAATTTCAAAATTTGAGAGTTTGAGAGTTTGGAAATTCTGAGAATTTGGGGTTTGAGAGTTTGGAAAAATTCAGAATTTGGGGTTTGGGAATTTGGGAGTTTGAGAGTTTGGAAATTTTGAGAATTTGGAAGGTTGAGAGTTTGGAAATTTCAAAATTTGAGGGTTTGAGAATTTGGGAGTTTGAGAGTTTGGAAATTTTGAGAATTTGGGGTTTGAGAGTTTGGAAATTTCAGAATTTGGGGTTTGAGAGTTTGGAAAATTTCAGAATTTGGGAGTTTGAGGGTTTGGAAATTTTGAGAATTTGGGGTTTGAGAGTTTGGAAAATTTCAGAATGTGGGGTTTGAGAATTTGGGAGTTTGAGAGTTTGGAAATTTTGAGAATTTGGAAGTTTGAGAGTTTGGAAATTTCAGAATTTGGGGTTTGAGAGTTTGGAAAATTTCAGAATGTGGGATTTGAGAATTTGGGAGTTTGAGAATTTGGAAATTTTGAGAATTTGGAGATTTGAGAGTTTGGAAATTTCAAAATTTGAGGGTTTGAGAATTTGGGAATTTGAGAGTTTAGAAATTTTCATAATTTGGGGTTTGAGAATTTGGAAAATTTCAGAATTTGGTGTTTGAGAATTTAGGAGTTTGTGAGTTTGGAAATTTTGAGAATTTGGAGATTTGAGAGTTTGGGAGTTTGAGAGTTCGGAATTTTGAGAATTCAAACAAATAAAAAATTAGAAATTTAACAATTTCATTTCAGGCTTACTCACTGTCATCTCTGCATGAACAAGATATTCGTACCAATACCATCCAAATGTCAAGTATGCAGTTACCTAGCGTATTGCAGTACTTCCTGCAGAGATGCAGACGCAAAAATCCACGAAAGCGAATGCGCAGTGTTACCTAGTTTGTGGATGTCGAAAACATCTGTCACGTGTTTCTTAGCTTTAAGGGCGATCACCCAGCGATCCTTCGAAGAATTCATTAAATTAAAGGATAAGTTAAAATCTACGAAGGGTAGATTCGAAATTACTCAGCAAAGGCCTTACCGATCTGACGATTTCGAAGCCTATTATGGTTTAGGTAATCAACTGATATTATTGTCAAAATGAAATGCATAATTTTTAATGAAAATCTTCAAATCAAAATTGATTCGAATTTTTTATTTTCAATGAAGTTATACATTATTCTCTACGCAGTCTTTATTCTGGTCTTTATTATCCCCAGTCTTTATTTAATAAAACTAGTGTTATAAGTACAGGTAGATATATTAAATATTCTGCTGTTTTTATGTGTAGTGACTCACGAAGACGAAAGAACTGATGAAGACATGCTTCACAGAACGTACATAGCCGTCTGGTTATTGAGGCTATTGAAATTAAGTCGATATTTCCCTGAAAATGTGAAAACTCCGGATACAGCCGAAGCGAAACCATCTGAAGATGAATTATTTATAGGAAGTTTAATTTTACATGGTTTAATGTTACTGCAATTCAATGCTCATGAGGTACACCTTATAAAAATTCTACGCTTCATAAATCATATGCTTCATAATTAAAATCAAATATAATCAAGTAATAGAAAATGTTATTTTGTAAAATATTATTCTTTGTAAAAATATTTTAGATATCAGAATTAACAATACCAAGAGGCGAAAAAACCTTAGCAAAAGCTAAAAGCACCTTCATAGGCGGTGGTCTCTTCCCGACAATAGCGTTATTTAACCATTCATGTAATCCTGGTGTCATCAGGTGCGTTCGATTACATCTAATTTAATTACTGATAAAATGTTTGTACAGTGCAATGTCATAGATTACAAATTAAGTAATATTATTACATGTAGGAACGTTTTACTGGTATTATGAATTGTTTATTATAATTTATTTAAACTGTATTATTATAGATCTGTATGATTAAGTCATTTATTATAAATTCAAACAATTTTAATAGCCATTCAATTAGCATACTTTGCCATTCAATTAGTGTGCTTTTATAAGCCAAGATATTTTGAAGATGATTATAGATATAATATTATGTAATTATAAATATATAGATATTTTATCGGAACTACTATGGTTGTACGAGCGATCCGTTCAATCGCGGCGGGAGAAGAAATATCAGAAAATTATGGTCCAATTTTTACCATGTCCCCTGAAGCTGAACGGAAAAGGACTCTGAGATGGCAATATTGGTTCGACTGTAATTGTGAAGCTTGCGTCGGTCATTGGCCCCTTTTGGACGACATCGACCCAACAATTCTAAGGTTCTTCAACTCATCATTTATTTTAAAAAATATTCAAACTTACAAAACGTAAAGAATTTAATAGTACAACTTTTTACTATTCTACTAATCACACTTCATTTTCAGATTCAAATGTGACACTGGACGAGAATGTGGAAACATTCTACCCGTGAAAACCGATACGAACGAGTTCATGATCAGATGTCCGAAGTGTGGGAAAAATACAAACATTTTGAAAGGTTTAAAGGCATTGCAGGATACCGATTCACTTTTCAGAGTTGCCTCTAACAATCTAGAAGATGGAAAACATGTGGAAGCATTAAGCTCTTATTTGAAGATTCTGAAACTTCTGGATGAAACCCTCGCTTTGCCTATCAGAGACTATCACGTTTGTCAACAGGGTGTTCGATTATGTACGCTTGCCCTGGGAAACTGCAGTTATGTTTGAGTATATATTACCATCAAATGCATGAACTGAAAAATAAAAAACTGCAAGGAAAACCAAATTTGTTCTTATATTTCAATAATCATTTATATCCATTGCATATTAATCAATAAAATCAATATTAAAAAAAAAAATAGAACAAGTGGCGCCATCTCTCCTGCGAAGCGGGTGAACTACACACTTTTGGAACTGTAGTTTCGTTAGTTCCTACTTTCCACCGCTAGATGGCGGAGCATGTTTTCGAAAGTACAACTAGCGCCATCTCTCCGGCGAACAGTGTGAACTACACGTATTTGTAACACCACGTTCATTAGTTCCTATTTCCGCCGCTAGAGGTCCAAACATCAACTCTAGAGCGAGAAACTTGAACTCCTGGGACATCTAGCGGTGAAAAGTTGGAACTAATGAATGTGGTGTCTCAAATACGTGTAGTTCACCCTGTTCGCCGGAGAGATGGCGCCACTAGTTCGATTTTTTTTTTAAATTAATTTAATATCGATTTTAATGATTAATATACAATATATTTATTATATATTCATTAATATTGACTTTATACTGCTTGTAATATATTCTGTGGGTCCGAAAATGCGGATTATGTGTTCAGAACACTTTTTTATTGAACAGTGCCCCCGCTCACTGCTAGATGGGACAGTGGTACAATTTTCGGTGAAAGCGCGCGAAAATATTATGAGTAAAACTTTTAAAATACTTTCCGCCTAATAAATATACTTTAATTAATACACAGATAGTTACATAACTAACAAGGTAAGTAGTTTATTTCATGTTTGAGGCTCAGGTAAAAAATGATATACATAAAATGGATTTCGTTTCACTTTATTCATACTTTATATGAAACAATTGACTATTTATTGTGACTTAATTATACGCGACTAGTACATACATGTAACATGTATCTTTTCATCGTAAGGTAGACGTGTCTTGTGCAAAACCGGTACATTTGTTTAAGAAACAGGTCGCATTACAATCGTTGTGAGGATGTGACAGATTTATGCTTTTAAATAATCGTGTACCTTCTTTGCGTCGTAATTCTATTTCCCTTCTTCTCCGGTCGAAAACGATTTTTACATAATCTTATTCAACATTGGTTAGCGGATCTTTAACTATCAGCACTTCAATTATTTTCAAAAGTATTAGAGGTACAAAATAATATTTTTTGTAAAGAGAACTTGTTAGAAATTTGGGGACTTGAGGATTTTGGGGGTTCAAGAATTTCGATTTTGGGTTTCTGGGTTTTTAGGTTTTTGGGCTTTTGGGTTTTCGGGATTTTGGGTTTTCGGGATTTTGGGTTTTCGGGATTTTGGGTTTTCGGGATTTTGGGTTTTCGGGATTTTGGGTTTTCGGGATTTTGGGTTTTCGGGATTTTGGGTTTTCGGGATTTTGGGTTTTCGGGATTTTGGGTTTTCGGGATTTTGGGTTTTCGGGATTTTGGGTTTTCGGGATTTTGGGTTTTCGGGATTTTGGGTTTTCGGGATTTTGGGTTTTCGGGATTTTGGGCGTTCGATGACGTCACTCCTTGAAAGCGCGCGTAAATTTGAATTTCAAACAGCGTACAAGAATGAAACTTAGAAAAATATAGAAAATTATAATGGTAATATAATACTAATATAATATAATGGTAATTATAATGGTAATATAACAACGGTAATATAGAAAATTGCAATGGTAAAAATTTATTGTAAAAATTATTTAAAATCATTCACAAAATTTTATTTATTCAAAAGTGTCTGTTATAAATCAAGCACAATGCGTGTTATTGCGAGTTATACCTCTTTTCTGAAAAAATGTCTTTAAAAGGGAAGATCTAAAAGGCTGTTAAAAGTTATAAAACACTGAAAGCAAATTAACGATGACCGTTTATTAACAAACCAGATTTATTTTAAATACAATTTGTACGATACCAGCTAATGCGACTACAATGAATATCACAGCATTTCTCAGGTAGACATTCTGGATGTCAGTCTCAGTAGCTCAAAAGTATTAATCAACTAAATACTACTCTTACTCTTTAAATTGGGTAGTGAGTAAATGGCGAGTACTCGTATAAGTTAATCCACTCCATTTCTCGTGTAGTTCGTCATCAAACAAAAATATATTTCACAACGAAACATACGTTAACTCCGAACTACGTCCAACTAAATAGCCATAGTCCAGCTTGTTAGCGTTCTACATCTAACGGGACATGACTATGTACAATTTTATTGTAATTATTAACACAAACACGAATTTACAATATACATGAAAGCCCATGAAAGTCCTTTGGATAAAAACTGAATATCTTCTCGAAACACGTTCTTCATATTTCCATCACGTATATTGCAGTTAATCGAACTTAAGCAAAATTTTCTGGTACATCGGTGAAATTATAAGGTCGTTTAATCTCATTAAGTTCGAAACGAAAACTGAAGTACAGCTTCTTGGTAAAAATAGTTAACCGATATCACAATTGCCTTAATTAAATCTAAACCAATGACATATTATACAGCGAACACGTTGATTACGTATCAATCGAGAAAGAAATGCATTCGTGAATTTACAAAAATTAAATCGTGAGTCGTAAACAACGTGACTTAAACTCTACGCGAAATATGTACATCATTTTCTGAGCCATGACAAGTGTAATTTTAATGACTGATTCTCTTCATTCGACTCCGGTCTCCATTAGTTTGTCCAGACAATCGTACGATTTTGATTGAATAATGTATCTGTAACAAAGTAATATTCATTTTTTATTAATATTTGTAGGAGATAAAATTAATCATTTTTTTAGTATTCTATAATAAGCGAGTTTAATGCATCCTCCATCTTAGTTATTTTATGGTTAAAATCATTCGTTCAAATCCACCCATAAGCATTATAGTAGCTGTCACAATTATTCATCTAAAATCTGAAGCAAACCATATTAATTTTATATTCGATATTTTCTAACTGATGAGTCGCCATCTTAGTTATTTTAAAATTAGACCCTAACTTCGTTAGCACTTAGACTCTGAAAGCATCAGAGTCTCAAGAAGACCATCAACCCCACAAGCAAGAGTTATCACAGCAATAATAATAGATTAGTTTCGTAATAGAAATTTGTTGCAAGTAAAAGCAAATATGGTAACCAAATCTTAACTAGTTCACCATCTTAACCATTGTAACATCACCCTCTAGATCCATCTATCAGAAGATCCATAACAAAGTTAAATAAGCCTAACCTCAACCCTCACATCAGCCCCATAAGCAAGAATCAGCATTAAGCAAAATGTTAATAAAGCAAAGCACCATAGAACTAACCCAAAGTTACCGTCACCGGTATCTATCTCTTGTAACCCAACCGTTTATGTGTCGGGTCTCTTCTGCCCACATGTAGGACCATCTTCCCAGCCTTGGCGGCCTTAAAAGTCTGCAGCGCCTTGGCATGAGTCAACCCATCCATCGATATTCCATTGATCGCCAGAATCTCATCTCCAACTTTCAGAGTGCCCTCTTCTGCAGCTTGGCCACCGGCTATGATGTCCTTCACGAAAATACCCATGGATCCTTTGTTGCTATCGGAGCCTCCAACGATGGAGAAACCCAACTTCTTCGAGGCACCCTTGTCCAGTGTAATTGTCAGCAGATCCATCGACAGACTGGTTGCTCTTCGAGGACAGACGAGAGTGGTGGCTCGTTTTCGTACCACGTAGAACTTCCTCATACCAGTCATCTTTTGATCCGAGTCCTTCTTGGAATTCGTCTCGGAGTCCATGCTGCTGATGGACAAGTTAGCCTCGTCCTTCGCCACCTTATTGTCCTTATCGTCGACGGAAGCGGAAACATCCTTCTCCTTCAACGTCCACACAGCAGAGTCGCTTCTGGTTCGCACTAGAATGTCTCCCCAGGTGTCACCCAACTCTTCCCCGAAGGTGAAGGTCGGTTCCCTCGCTATCTGCAGCTCGACAGTGCCCAGACAGTTCTTCAGGGCGTTCCTCGCCTCCGCGATGGACATTCCCCTCAACCTGCGTCCACAAACGCGGACGATTTCGTCCCCTATGCGAAACTGCTTCGACTTCGCTGCCTCCCCGTTGACGTTCATCTTGGAGATCACGTAGAAAGGTCTGACAGCTTCCCTCCTCTCCACGGAGATTCCTAGACTCCCAGGTTTATCTACGGTCAGCTTCATGGTCTTCAGCTCCCGACGCACCAGGGTCTTCGCAGGGGTCGGAAGAGGATGCTCCATCTTCGTGGACTTCTTTATCTTGTTTCTGTTGTTGACGTCGCAGTCGTCGGGCTCGATACTGGACCTGGTCCTCTTCGGGCTGTAGTACTGCACGGTGTTGCTGATCGTCGAGTTGATCTTCGTGGCTGGTGGACTATCCTTGCAAGGAGAAGCAGCGTTCTCCAGTAGGTTCAGAGTACTCGAGTGCGTGTGCTTCCGAGATCTGAGGGGAATCTGCGATATCCTCGGCTCCTTCTGCAGCTTTACTGCCTGCGAAAGTGGCTCCGATCTGGCGAACCTCTTCGTAGGTATCCTACTGACCTCGTTGCTCCCTGAAGTGGACGGTATTCTCGCCTCAAGGTCGCTGGCAGCTTTGGACGGAGTCTCGCATCTCCTCAAGGTGTTTTCGGGTTTGACTTGCTGAGGCACGCAGTTGTCGCGGAACTGCGAATACTCTTCGAAAGTGTCATCGCCGTCGGATACCAAGGCAGTAGTATTCGTTTCTATCGACTCATTGAGTACGTTGCTGTCGATTACCACGGTGTCATCCAGACAGGGAGCCTCGTTCTCGTTGGTCTCGCTCGGCTCGTCTCTTTCCTTCGGGGTGTTGGCAGGCAGGGATAAATCCACACCGTGGTAGTCGTCGGAGGTTATGGAAAAGCTACGGGGTTTCAACATAGCTGGCACAGATTGCTCGCTGTCTGGAGAGTCTGCTCCAGCACGGGTGCTGTCAGAGTCGTACCCGCTTTCGTCACAGCCTAGTCGCAGGTTGTTCATCAGGTCCTCCAAACCGGTCGTCGGACAAGGTCTCTGAGTCTCCGCTCTGCAAAATATTTTAAATTGGTATCAATTTTATTGATATCTTAATAACACCCTTAATAATATTAATACCTTAGCAACACACCAGCAAGGTATTAAGATTATTTTAAACAACTCACCTGTCGCATTCAGTTGACCTTGAACTAAACAAATTCCTCTTGATATTATTGAGTTGATTGCTGAAGAAATCCTTCGTCTGCGTAGAACCATGGCTTTTACTTCCATCCGCAGTGGTTCTGTTAGGACTCAATCTTCTAACCTTGTTCAAGGTCTCCTTCGCAAAGGTAGTACCTTCCTGCGTTTTTAGCATACTCTGGTTCTTTAAGATGTAGTCAAGAACGCGTTGCTGTTCCTGGAGGTCCTGTATACTGCGACTGAGTTGCTTCTTCTTCTCGTGCAGAAGAGTTCCACGATTCAATCGACTGTCATCCATGCTGATTCTGAAAGGCACGTTCTTTATCGCACCCTCGCTTAGGGCTTTCTCCATGGGATAATGGCCGATGCAAGTGACGTCTTCTTCCTGAATCGTCACATTCCTTGACGCGTCACCGCTAAGAAAATTGTTATTTCTCTCGCTACCTCTGAACAGGTTTCGTAACGATTCCACCCTGGATATTCTCTTTGGCTTTGGTAATTCTGGCGATCCGATGGCACCCTGGGAATTATTATATTATTTATTCAACACGTCATTCGTACACTTACGTGTGAGCAAATATTTAAGTAATTGATAGCCATATGTGATCATTTCTTTAGCTCTGACATTCCTCAATGCAGTAATTTAACACACATTGGATTACATCAAATGTAATAATAATATTAATGATGTTGATACGTTGCAAGTTAATAGTAACGATAATGTTAGCAATAATTAGAATGACTATGCATACATATGTGAAACTAGTGGCATCAAAAAGTGATATCAGGCTGAGTTAAATTAGCCTCATCAAATTTTCTCAGTTGGATGTTAAACACTAAAAGATGATTCTTTGAAACTCTTACTGATTAAGATATTATAATTGAATTTACATTTTCATTGTCGTCGCCGGTGCCTTTAGGATTGGGACTCCATCGTCTCCGTCTACCCGAAACCGAAAGCAGTTCGGAGCTGTCCGATCTCTTCAGCTGATCCCATCTTCGACCCACTTTCCTTCCCCATGTTGAAATTCCTGCGACGCAAGCCATATTTAATACGCTATTCATTTTTTGCTCAGTGATCAACTCACCTTTACGATTCGACACGCAAGACTGCGACGAAGAAGGTTTATCGCTGGAATTTTCTTTCGTGCAATCTCCTCTCGATCCGTCGTTCTCGTTCTCGGGTATTTTGCCACTCTGATTAGAATTTTCGTCCACCACCGTCAAAGGCACGCTGCCATCCTGAGATAACGGGGTGGCCGAAACTAGTTGAGGACTGGTGTTACAGGTTTGCCGTTTGAATAAACGCATCGTGATAGCCTGGAACAAACGATGTCGTTAAATAATTAAATAGAATTGACCATTCAAGCTTTCATTGCGCGCATCTGCTTCGGGGTACAGCTACCAAATATGGTCTTCGGTTCGTTAGCTCGACGAGCACCTGCTAAACATTTACATTTACGTTTATCAATTTCCGTTCGCTTTTTATCCGCGATCATTCGCAATATATTCTGGTTATCGCTTTGAAAACCATGGCCATTTCAATTTTTATATTCCTGCTATAGAAGAGAAACGTTCATATGTGTTTTACTGACAATATAGATCTGCACACAAGAGTTTGAAGATCTGCACATCTCTAGTATTCTATAGAAGTAGGTTCTTGTGTTAATACATTTCTAAATGTACAAATTTCATTGACGAGATTCATGGATAATTATATTTTCATGTATTTAGATCAGTAGGTCTAAATACCGAGATCTCCAGATAAATCTATAAAATTATATTTGGGAAAATTTTAATATATCTAGAACAGTAAATCTCCAGCTTTCTGTATGTCAAAATTATATCTCCAGATTTTTGTATGCCAAAATTATATTTTAAGAGCACTGTTCTCTACTTTCCATACTACCAAATATAACTCTAAATTCCAATATTCCAAACTAGTTACGTTCAAGGTCTCTATACAACGAAATCCCTAGATTCCAAAATCACTAGATATCAAAAATACTTAGATTCCAATATCCCTAAACCCCAAAAGCACCTTACCAAAAAAATCCCAAGATACAAGATTTCCTAGATTTCAAAATTCGAATGTTCCAAAATCTCAATATTTCGAAATTTTCGTATACAAAAATCCCTATATTCTAAAATCTCTAAGTCCCAAAAATGCTAAGATCACAGAAATCCCTAGATCCCAAAAATTCCAAGATCCCAAAATTCTAAAACCCCGAAATCCGTAGATCCCAAAATTCCAAGACCCCGAAATCCTTAGATCCCAAAAATCCCAAGATCCCAAAAATCCCAAGATCCCAAAATTCCAATACCCCGAAATCCCTAGATCCCAAAAATCCCAAGATCCCAGAAATCCCTAAATCCCAAACATCTCTAGATCCCAAAATCCCCAGATTTCACAAATCCCTAGATTCCAAAAATCTCTAGATCCCCAAATCCCACAAATCTCTTAATCCCAGAAATCTCTAGATCACAAAAATCCCTAAATTCCAAAATCCCAAGATCCTACAAATCCCCAAATCTCAGAAATCCCAAGATCCCACAAATCTCCAAATCCGAGAAATCCCTAGATTCCACAAATCCCCAAATCCCAGAAATCCCTAGATCCCAAAAATCCCCAGATCCCAGAAATCTCAAAATCCCAAAAATCCCAATATCCCAAAATCCTTCCATTTAAAAATTCCCTAGTAAAAATATTAAAAATTGTAAAATTCCTATAACAATAATAAAAATTTCAGTGTTAAAAATTACGATCGCAAAGAAAAGAAAGTAGACAGTATTATTTTAATGATTAGCAGCATCTATCTCGGGTGAGCAAGTTTGATACGCCTGAAGGAGCAATTACACAACGAAAATGCGTTTCTGACATAACCCAGCCCATTAAAACTCTTCTCACGCACGATTCGATATAAATAATCTGCTCACAATTAATCAGAGACCCACGCTTCCGAACAGAAGTAAAAGGTCACCGGGTGAATATTAAGAATATTGCTAAACTACTCGAAACGGCTACGCGCCGCGAATGTAGCCATTATTATTAGTCAGAACTGGCAGAAACCGATGTACCCAAGAAAAAATCGCTGACAGTAATTAATATTGGGACATCAAGTATACAGAAGTGTAACGCATCGTCGTTGAACGCGTTAGAGCTATTAAATATCAATTTGCGAACGACTTTATACGCTCCCTAAGAGCGGGATGATATTTATGGTGCAATAAAATAGCGAGTTCGCTTTCGGTACAACTTCGGATGGATTATTTAAAAACATTATCGTGATACGGGGTTTTTATGGTTGATCGTTTTATTTTTCTTTTAGTGCTTCTTTGTGGGTATTTTTAGAGACAAGGTTTGACAAGGTTTATTTGAACTGAGTAAAAATGTTGAAAATTTGATCAAATAAAATTTTAATGCGATAGTTAGCAGAAACGTGTTACTAATTCTATCGTGTTTGATCAAATTTGAAATTGTTTCATGTAGAATGTTTCATGTAGAATATATAGAAGAATAAATTTTGTTAAGATATTTTATGTTCAGTTGGTTTCAAATTTAAATTAATTTTCATTTTTATATATCTAATACGTACTCATAGTAAAAATTCTTTAGAACTATTTTTTTTATCTGGTTCTAAGAGGAAAAGATACGATTTAATTTTACAAAGACAGATGTTACTTATTTGATAATATACCGTGATACTTGACGATCAAGAAGAAATAATTAGTGATAAAATTAAGATTGCAATGGTTAATTATTAAAAAGTGTAAGTAAAGGCCTGTTAATAAAAATGTTGCTTTGGAAGTGTAATTATAATGTTCGAATTTGGAAGGGATTCCAAAAGTGTCACCCGTTATACGTCAACAGACTGTTCCAGGAGCGGAGAAGAGAGAACAGGGTGTGGAGACAGGAGAGAAATAAAAAAAGTGCATGTAGTGTGCCCACGTGTGCCCCGATCCAGCCGTATAAGTGCATATCACATACACCACATGCCGCGGCTAAGTACACTCGGGTGCAACGTAGCTTTCCTTTAAATAACTATATATATGTGAACCTGGCAAGTTTTTAATACATTTATTTCTGCATCAACAATTTTCGACGTCCCCAAAATCCTAAAGCCACAAATTACTACATTCCCAAATCCCAAGATCATCAAATTCCTACGTCCCCAAATTCCTACATTCCCAAATTCCAAGATCACCAAATTCCTACATCCCCAAATCCCAAGATCACCAAATTTCTACGTCCCCAAATTCCCACATTCCCAAATTCCAAGATCACCAAATTTCTACGTCTCCAAATTCCTACATCCCCAAATTCCTACATTCTCAAATTCCAAGATCACCAAATTCCTACGTCCCCAAATTCCCACATGCCCAAATTCCAAGATCACCAAATTCCTACGTCCCCAAATTCCTACATCCCCAAATTTTTACATCCCCAAATTCCTAGATCATCAAATTCCTACGTCCGTAAATTCCTACATCCCCAAATTCCTACATCCCCAAACCCCTACATCCTCAAATTTCTACATCCCCAAATTCCTAGATCATCAAATTCCTACGTCCGTAAATTCCTACATCCCCAAACCCCTACATCCTCAAATCCTTGTCTTCCAAACCAATTCAATTCCTACCTTCATAAATCGCTAAATCCCTAAACCTCCATATTTCAGTATTTATATTCGTACGTTTCCAAATCCCTACATCCACAAATTCCTGTGTCTCCGAAACCCCTACTTGCACAACTTCCTATATTTCTAAACTTCCAAATCCCCAGATATCAATAGACCCCCACATACCCAAATCTCGAATCCTCTAATCTTGAATCCACCTATAAATTTTGATTTTTCTAAAAACGAACGAGTGAAGGACCTCTTCCAATTTAATTGTCAGATTTTCCCTAGGTAAGCTACATTTGTTACTGACTGTACAGCGCATTTTTCCGGGGCGAAGCGTGTACGGGAGCTCGCGTGAAAACGGCTATGCTCTTCTCGTTGCTGTCGAGTCGAACGCGAGTAAATGCGGCGCATCCGGTCGCGATTACGACGTCGAAAAAATTCCGACAGCTCGCTAAATCACTTGACTAAGCATAAAATCAACTTTGATACGAACGTGGTAAAGTGCTTTCCTTTTTATTGCAATTTATTGTTGGACGACGTTCACCTTCGGCTATCGAGCTCGCCGTGCAATTTTATTAATCTGCGACAAAATTATTGCTTTGGAGGAACATTAACTATCGTTGCTTTTTTTATTTTTGTTGTAATATATGATATTCTGATTGATATTGATGGTTAAATGTGTGGGTTTCACTGGATTTCTATATTTCTAAATTTAGTAGATTCTTAGGCATCTACGTCACTATTTAACTAAATATAAATGAAGTTATTTACTTAATAAAATTAGTTAAAATAATTAATGCAAATATTTGAACAAAACGACATAAAGAGAATTAAACTTAAAGAGGATATAATTTTGAATTAATGAATGTAATAACTTGAAGAAAATAATTATGAATTAAACTTTATTGGATATTTAACTCATCGTTCAAAATTGTAAAATCTCTAAATTATAAAAATATTCAAATTTAAAATCGTAAATTTTTAAATTAATTAATTGATATAAATTTTGAAGGGCTTCGTCATATATGTTTACTTTAATAATTTTAATAAGCCGTAACCTATAATCGAAACTATTTGAACAAGGTATTTGTACCGAAAAACTTTGAATCATAGCAGTTACGAGCAGCAATTAACGATAAAAGTAGATTACGGCAACGTGAAGGAAACACCAGGATATTTCCTGCACGAAGTTGCGCTCGATGGTCATTTTACCGTAAAAAGATAAACTTTTGTAACTTTCTATGTCGTTTTGTGAAACTGAAAATCGATAATGACTTTCTCCTAGATTCACGCGTCTCTTAATCGATCAACGATTAATACGAGTGTTTATAAAATTTCTCCCGGCTTTCGCTCGCCTACATTAAGTTATCCAGTTTTTCGAGCGTAACATTATCTCGAGTCGAGCCACGATTCACACCGTCGCGATAATTATCGCTTGTACAGCTATAAATCATCCAACCGAATATAGGTATACGATTTTTCCGATTGAAACTACCCTTTACGAGCGATTGCAATTATAGATAATTGAAGGAGGTATCGTGTTACAAAGAAATTATTTTCTTTTATGCAATAAAAACAACGTGTACTCTGCAACTTGTGGTACAAGTGTTAGAATCATGTGGGTCATTAGAGACTGTTATTATTAGTATGTGGAGTATGGTTTATGTACTGTATGTGGTATAAAAAAATGGTATT